CCCCCCCCCCCCTCGTATGACGCCCCTGGCGAAGCGACTGTGGCAACGGGTAGCTCTTCTTTCCTTCTCCAAGGGCTGAAGGGGTCCATGTCCAGCCCACACAAGCCCACGGTTGGATCCTTTACCACACCGCGACCGTTTTAGACTATGCGATGGCACAGAGGTATCCTCAAGAGGTATGTTATATTTTCTATATTTTTCCTGTCGAGAGTGCGACGTATGAAGCACCATGCGCAAGGGCGTGCGGCGGGGTGGGTAGGTGTGGTTGTAGTGCCTCTTGTCGCCATATCAAGATATGTACAGCAATGTACTGGTACGGAAACGCATTGCCCGCAAAGCGAAAGATTGTCTGACGAAGTAAAGGAAATCTGCGTTTTGTGAGAAGCGGCAGAAATAAACCTTGGCCAATCAGAAAGCAGGAAGCGGACGAGCGTGTTGGTGTTCTGTTTTCAGTCTACTCGCTTCGCCGTGTTTACCGGGGGCGAGCGAGAGCACGTGTGCGTGTGGTGGCCAAGGGTTGTTTTCTGCTGTGACGTTTCTTTTTGGCACGTGACGTTTCGTGGCGTGACGTATTGGACGGGAGAAGTTTCGCGTCTACGTTTCCCCTGTTTTCGGGGCGACATGGATTCGCATCCAAATCTCGGAAAAGGGCCTGCCGACGGTATCCGTTCGTCGGTGGATGCCTCGATCACCGACGGCGGCGGCAGCAGCGGTGGTGGCGGTGTCCCTCCCTCCGCCACTGTGGCGGGCGCGGCTGCCGCAATGGCATTGGCAGCCCAGGACCAGCAGAACCCGCCGTCGCAGCAACAGCAGCCGCCGCAGCAGCAGCCGCAACAGCAGCAGCAGCAGCAGCAACTTCAACGTCAGCAGCAAGAAGCGGCAGCTGGGGCCGCAGCCGCGGCGGGGTCGGCGGTCGGCGGGGACGAGGCACGGCTGGCCGACGGCATGGCTGGTTTATCCGTGGAGGGCCTCGGTGGGTCGTCTACGATGGCCGGGGGGAACAACCTGGGTGCCGGTGCGGCGTCGGGGGCGCCGGGTGCGTTGCAGCTTGTGATGTTGCAGCAAGATAGCGAGAATCTCGTTGCGAAAGTGTCGGCTTTGGAGCAATCCCTGCAGCAGCTGCTGAACAACCAAGGTGGGGG